CCCTGTAGGCCCCAACCAAATGCCCCCCGCCTTCCAGGCTGGCTTTGTGGATCCAAACAACCACCACACAAGCCAGCATGGACTGAGCACTGAAGGGAACAGGTAAATACCACATTTGTGGCGGGGTGGGTGAATGTGTCAGTAGGCGAGGTTCAGGCCAACTGAGGGGGTGGAGGAGAGCTGGCTGGTAGAGGTGGCATTTGGCTGGTTTGTGAAAGGGAAAGGATTTCAGCCCACGCAAAGCAGGGAAAAGGGCACCCTGGGGTGACAGAAGAGCATGAGTGAACGCAGGGCTGTGGGTGACAGGACAGAACCTTAGGGAGATGGTGGGATGTGGGGGGGGGCTGATGGAGAATGGGATGGATGAGTGTGGAAAAGTTGAAAGGGCAGGTCACAGGGGGCCTTGATTGCCACACTGAAGGCTTACATTTCACCCTGTGAGTGACTAGATGCAGGGCTGTGAGGTTGGCGCTGTGGAACAGTCAGTTGCCGGATCCCTTCCCTCACTAGGGTGGAGAACACCGTGTGGTAAGCAGTATGCAGCAGGCTTCTGGGGGAGGAGAGGGGAGAGGTGGGGCAGGTCCTGGCTCTGGAGGTCTGGAGCAGGGTGTGAGGGGCACCGCCCTGGGTCCAGTTCCCCTTACTGACCCATTTCCTGCATGCCACTCCACCTCCCATCCCAACCAGGGAGGGAGTGGGAAGCAGCTACTGGCAGCTCTCCCAGTCACCATGGATAGTCACGCAGCTCCATCCATCTGTTTGGCCCAGCCCCATAGGGCCTCTGTGGTCAGGTCTTTGTGTCTGCACAGTGGCCCTCTTTGTCCTGGGCAGCCTCTCTCCAACTCCCTCCTACCCTGTCTCCCTTGCCTGTATTACAAGAGGCACCAGCTGTGCTGAGAGACAGGCCAGGGCTCTTATCTTGGCTTCCCCCACTGAACTGCTGTGCAATCCTGAAGAAGACCCTTTGCTTCTTTGAGTCCATGAGGGCACTATTATGAGGAGTCAAGCTCAGCAAAAGCTGGTCAGCTTTCCAGTGTGGAGACCCTGCAACAGTGATGTCCATGGGGCCTTCTTCCCATGCTGTTCTCGAGGCTTCCTACTTTCTCCTCACCCTGCCTGATCGGGTGGCTACCATTCTCCCATCTGACAGATGAAAAAAACCAAGGCTGGGAGACAGGGCTGGCTTCCTGGATATATGGCCTGTACAGTTACGCCATGCTTTGAAGGTCTCTGTACTTGGTTTAATACTCTGCTATCCCCATCTTGAAACTTTTAGTAATTTTTTTAATAAGAGGCCTCCATTTGCATTTTGCCCTGGGTCCTGCAAATTATATAGCTGCTCCTGCTTTGGGGGATATAGGGCCTAGTTCAGGCTTCCTGATCCCCAGGGTTGCCTCCCTTGGTTCCTGCATCCTGGCATGCCAGGCTGCACTTGGCATCAGAGCCACAGGCTCTGCCTGGGAAACCTGAGGAGCACAGCTCCTGCCGTAGCGGGAGGGAGGAGAGTGCGGGCCCATGCAGCGATCCAGACAGCAAGGAGGACAAAGCTGCTGGAATCAGCCCAGCCCCATGTAACCAGAACCACCAGTGTAGGTCCCAATACTATGGTACAGCCATCACTTGGGAACTCAGCAAGGCCCTCTTTCCCAGCAGGGTGCCAGGGACCCACCCCAGACTCACTGTGAGACTTTGGACTTTCACCCCCCCTCTGTGAGCCTCAGTTTTCCAACATATAACATGGGAGTAGTAATGCCTACCTCACAGAGTACTGGTGAGGAGTAAGTGAGATGCTTAACACGATTGCTAGCACAAAGAAGGCGATCACTAAAGAATTCTTGCTCACTCATGCACCACAGATACAGACGCTGGCCACATGATACGGACAGTACTGGGTCCTGAACATTTAACTGTGCACAGCATGAACCCTGCCTGCCCTCAGAGAGATCCCCATCAAGGATTCCTTTTAGAGGGGGGAACAGACACTGAGACACTGAGAGGGACAGCAGCATGGCAAAGGTAGAGCACCTGGAACTGGGAAAGCAATGAGCCCGAAAGTGGAGGCCAAGGGCAGAGAAGCGCAAAGCGGACACTCAGGGAGAGGGACAGCAAATGCTAGGCAGGAGGTGGGTGAGCGCTTAGCATGACTACCGAGAGGCAGGAGGCTAGGCAGGGGTGGGAGGCCAGCAGTGGCAGGCTGGAGAGGTGGAGGGCTTCATCTAGAGGGTGCTGGAGTCTCTGTGAAGCAGGGGATGGCAGTGAGGGGTGACAGGCACCACCCCAGCCAGGCTGGAGCCTGAACTAGGCAGGGGCTCTACTCCCAGCACCGATTCTCTGAGCAGGTTTTCTCAGGGGAGATGAGAGAAATCGAGAGAGAAGATGAGAAAGCCTGAGTGAGCCAAATGCCTCTGCAGGGTTGAAAAGACAGGAAGCCTCCTAATGCTTGGGGGGAGCCAAGGCTGGCTTTGCCCTTCCCCCCTGACCTGCTGTGCTAATGGAACCCTTCCTATGCCCCCGTGGCTCCATTACCCACCTCCAAGGGACCATTACACTGCCTGGGCCTCCACCACTGCTTGGCTGCGGGGTTCAGGGCAGGCTTCTTCAGTGCTACTCTACCCCTTTGGCAGGTGCTTGTGTGTGACTCACTGGGCCTCAACTTCCTGGTTGGATCAATAGTTCTAAATTCTTTTACCATAGAATCTTTTGTGTACTTTCAACAAATTTTTACCAGGAAACGTAGATAAGTAAAATCATAAAAGCAAAGGTGCTTAAGTTGAAGCTGAGTGGGGGCTCTCTGGAGTGTATGAAGGGGGGACTCTGTTGGGGAGTGCGTTAGACTTGACCTCCAAAATCTCATCATGGAAGTGCCTGGAGAGGTGCTGGGAAAGCTGAACTCCCAGCCCCTCATTAGAGGACATATTAGTTCCTCAAACCTGGGGAACTCGGAGTGGATGATGGGCAAAACTCTGAAAGAAAAAGAAAACTTTAGACAGGCCAGAAGATAAGGATTATTATTACTCTATTTTGCAGAAGAGGAGCCTGGGGCTCAAATAGAAATCATCAGAGAGATGAGACAAGACTAGAATATGAACCCAAAGCTTGGGATTCAAGGACAAGGTTCTTTCCTCTGCTTTCCAGGCCTAAGTCATCTGACATGGCAACTCCGACACCATGTATCTCAGGGATACAATTTCTTTTGTTGTAAAGTAAGGAAGCTGGACCATAGCAGGGGATGTCAAACCTGGACCAGCCACTATCCAGAGTGTTTAATACAGGTTAAGACCAGGCCAGGGTCCTCATATTGGAATTCAGGGATATTTTTCTTCTAGGGGAAATAGCTGCAACTATAGAAGGTTTAATAGATTTAAGTCGAGGGAGAAGAAGGGGTCGGCTGGGGCTCCAGTATCCAAGGAGAATTTCCCACACTGGGGCCCTAAAGCCTAGGTCCTAAAATTTCAGGCCTTGAGGATACTTAAATCCCTGGAAGCTGCATGTACCAGCTGGACAACAGGAGGAGGCTGGACAAGGGCCCTTTGTGTCTCCGGAGCGGAGGTCTCAAGGGACCTCAGAGGCAGCTCAGCCACACAATACTGTGTGTCCACCCTGCTCTTACACAAAGTCAGCTGATCTGGAGCCCAGCCGGACCCTGGGCAAGCTCCTTGGGCCACAGAAGAGGCCTGTCTGCATTTGTCCAGCCCCTGGATCATCCTAAGAATAGACAGTGGATAGATAGTGGAAGGTGTGTGAGTGTGACTGGCTTCATTTCAGAAAAGAAGACCCTGAAAAGGACTGGAACTGGGCCAAGGTCTCCCAGTCAGTGCTAAAGCTGGGTCAGAACTTGCATGCTTATCCACTGAGCATGGTGCCGCACGGCTGTAATCCCAGCACTTGGAAGGCTGAAGCAAGAGGATCGTTGAGAGTTCAAGGCCAGCCTGGGCTACAAAGTGAGCTCAAAACCAGCCTGAACTGCATAGCGAGACCTTGTCTCAAAAAGACAAATAAAGAACCTACATTCTTGAGACCTAGACCAGAAATGGGGCAAAGGCACTGATTCATTTATCCAATCTGCACATTCAAGGATTGAGGACCCCCAAGGACTTCCAGGACAGAGTAGTCCAGTCCTCCTGAGCTCATAGAGCAGGAAAGAGACAGAAACAAGGTCTGTGACTTACAGAACGCAAGCAGACTGGGATAGAAGGCAGACATAGGATTAAAAGAAGCTCAGGATGAGGCCAGGTAAAACGGGAGTTCAGGGACCTGCTAGAGAGAAGAACGAAGGGAAGAGGAGAGTAGAGGAGGCTCCCTTATCCCCCTCAGGAGCTGGAGACAGGTAAGAGCCTGACTGACAGCCTGCGTTGGCCTTCTCAGCTTTGTACCCTAATCTGGTCCCTCCAAGGCGAGCCAGGCTGGGCTGGACGCAGGGCGGAGGCGGCTAGTTGGCACAAAGGTCCCACGGGGGGCAGTGACAGGAGCCACGCCGGCACAGGGCAAACCTTGTAAACCTTGGGCGTCACGCAGACCCGCTCCGGGCTCCTGTGCGCAAGGCGCGAGTCTTCTGCCGCGCCAGGCTGTGGGATCGTCGCCGCGCGCCCCTTCCTGCTCAACACCCCAGGTGGACGCGCTGACCCCACAGCCCTGCAGCTGGGCGCCGTCCACAAGCCAGTGGCGGTGTGGCGGCTATCTACCGCGGCCGGTCGGGGGCGGCGCCAGGGTCTGTCCGGAGTCCTCCCGCCCCCTCCAGGCCCCGCCGAAGGGTGGGGCGCGCGGCGGGGTGGGGCGGGG